CCTTTGCGAGAGAGTCCGCCTTCTCATTGCCTGGGATTGAGCAATGTGAGGGGACCCATACAAAGGTAATCATATATGATCTTTCGACCAGCACACACATCTGCTCCCTTACCTTTGAAAGGAAATAAGATGAGTGCCTACCTTGTTTCATCGACCGAATAGCCTCAATCGAACTGAGACTATCCGTGATGATGAAGTAATGGTCTGCGGGCATGTTGGAAATCATCCCCAATGCGAAGTTGATTGCTGCCAGCTCAGCAACAAAAACGGAACAAGGTTCCTGAAGTTTGCGGAAGGCGCTAGAGTTTTCATTGAAGACACCGAAGCCAGTGGATCCATTGAGACGGGACCCGTCTGTAAAATATCTTTTCATGCAATTGACTTGTTGGTACTTTTCAGTAAAAATACGCGGAATAATAATAGGTCGAAGTTGATCGGGAATCCCATGAGTTGCTTGTTTCATGGTCAGATCATATTCAATTGAGGAACTGCGATTGGTGAAGTGAACACGGTCTGGAGTATAACAAGGAAGACACATATCCTTCCGTTTGTTATTGTAATAACTAAATTATTTATTAGTTCGTTATTCGTAGAATATTTTTGAGGTATTATTTTTGGTATTTCACCTCTTATGTCAGCCTCACTAATACCATATTTAGGTTGCCAGTTATGCTATTTTCATACCTGAATTTGGTTTTTTTGCCAGCTCGGGATGAGTTCGCGTCCAAATGAGCTCAATCCGATAAGATAAGTCCGGAATACTCTCGCTAGGTAGCACTAGTGTTCTTATGAATTTTATGTACATGCAGGGTCGACATCTCGAGATATTTGAAATATACAAAATTGCTGTTTTCTGCAAAACCGAGAAACTCGGTAAACTGAACCGAATATTCGCTAAAACGTGTTAAACGTCAAACGTTCCACTTGCGCTCAACTTCGTGGCGGAAATTTTAACCGAAAATTTGGTTCTCTAAGCTGAGTCTAAAATTAGGCAGCCATTTTTTCTCGCGTGTGCTCGTCGCACGTGTGCAAAACTTCAGTAAAAATGGAAAAAATTCTGGAGCAGCTGTCACAGGAGGATGCACGTTTGATTGGAATCTTTGGTAAGTATTTGAAACTAACGGTATGTGCTATAGTTTGTTTCTCCTGCCGTGAAAATATGCAAGGTTATGTCTCTGGCTTTCAAAGGCATTTTAAAAGCCATTTGAATAAGAATGACTTCAAAGTCAGTGATATTTTTTTTTGACTGTACTTTTTCACGCTGTAACTCGCGTTACGGAAGTTTTTATTCGCCAAAACAAATTAAATAAATATATTTCATACATTTCTTTGACAAAACTGGTTTTATTTTTATGAAAATTCGAAGCAACGTATCCTCAATTAAAATTTAGAGCAGGATTTGAAGTGAAAACCGAGCGCTGCCCAAGAGAACCGAATTCCGTAATTACAACAGGTGTGTCGGTTTGTTTGACAGCGTTCGGTAACTCTTGAGTAAACCGATATTCGGTTATTTCAGCTTAAATTTATTTTTTATCAACCGAGATTTTCGGCAACTTTGACAGATTGTGGGTAGCAAAAAGAACTAACGACAGCTCGGTTATTCTCCTTTGAACCGAATAGACTACCGAGCTTTCAGCAGATAAAAACTCGGTTGAAATCAAACCGAGTTCGGTAATATTTTCTAAGTGTGAAGCTAATGAAGTTTTTGGACCTATATATATGGACTTCCGATTCCTTCTTTTATAAAATTCTGTACTTCTGTAGTGGAAATTGCTTGCACTGAAAACGATACTAACTTAGAGAGTGAGTAACTTTTACTCAGTTCTGAGTCACTTTTACTCATTCATATGGAGACATTATTAGATATTTCTCCATACGAATGAGTAAAAGTGACTCATTTTCTGAGCAGATTCGTTTTCGGTGTACATAGGTAACGAGCAAATCGATAAAGAGAAATTCTGTGCTCAAGTGTACTCATTCTGTGTCACTTACCCATACCCCATGATGTGTCGAAGTTGCATACGTGTAGGCGAAGCGTTCGACTCGAGTACGAAAGTCTCTTTTAGTCGAGCAGTTTTGAGATTATTTCTACACGACAGTTGAATTCAACTCAAATTTGGGTTACATTGATTTAAATTCGCAAAAACGCAGGTCACTCATAGACTGAGTAAATTTTCCTCGATTTTCCTCCCCTGCTGGATCGCGAATTTGAGTCTTAGACGGAACTGAGATTTGAGTCAGATTCAACGTCCTTGTAAGAAATGCTGAATCACGTCAGTGGCAGTCAAACCATCATGATAAGGTAGCGTGCTGAAACCTCCCCACTCAGAGAAACGAAGTCACGTGGCAGCTACGTCGGTTTGTTTTATAATTCAAGACCAACAATTGAAATGGCCTTAACTCCGAACCAAAGTCCGCAAAGGCAAACCAACAGGTAGGGGAAATTCTCCTCTACCCTATTGTGGTTTAGGTTTGCTGACGAAGGTTTCGGTTTGTTTATAAAATGGAGTTAAGGCCATTTCAATAGTTGGTCTTGAATTATGGTGATGCAACGTTCAACAAGAGCTTAATTTCGTAATTCTACTCATTTTCATTAGAAAGACAAGTGATAGGGGAAATGACGGCTTCGGCATGCCAGACTATTTTCGGCAACCCAAATTAAAACACTATTTTCACTGGTTTTTCTTACAAAAACACTTCGCTGAATGCATGCAAACGATTCTTTATGCTTGCAGCTTCAATTTGACTATATTTTTACCACTGAGAGAAAGCAATCTAGCAAAGTTTTCTTGAAATGAAACACACGCACTACAAATTGTAGCTGATTTCGAGTTGCCGATAATAGAACAGCATGTACATGCAGTTCAAATGGAGCGGTTGCCGAAGAAAAACGGGTTGCCGACAATACTCGCTCTCACTAGAGAAGATTGGAGCTTTGTAAAAGCGTTTCAAAACAGTTTTTGACAATTTTTTCAACTGAAATTGTTAGAGCAGCTGGCAGCAAAAGATTGTAAGCAAACCAATACTCCATATGCGTGCGTTCCTTAGAGAAAAAGGCTATAGAAAGAAGGTCGCTGCTTAGGTTGCCGAGAATACGTAAATTCCCCTATATCGAAGACAACAAATCAAGAAGACTGGCAACTCTTTCATTTTCTCATACAAACGTTATGAGACGGGTACAATCGCGTCATCTGCCGCTCAAAGGTAAATGCTTCGAACGAATTTGATAGCAAAGATTACATCCTCAGAAGAAGGGTTTGTGTATTTGCTCATGCTTGATTTGTTGTCTTCGGATATATCCTATATTAATAGCAACACAATCAAAGTCACAGAAATCTTCGCTATGATTAGGATTCCCGGAAAATTAGTAAAATCCACATTTCTAGTTCCTCGTGAAACTGATTCAGCTTTCCGTCGTCGAGAAACCGGACGAGTTTTACAGGTTAGTCGCAAGACACTTCCAGAGGTTGGAAATTTTTTCAAGGAAAGTTGGTAGAAATTGTCGAAGAAAATTAGATGACAATTCTGAGGGAAGTTGGAAGAAAGAAGAAGAAGAAGCGGGGATGAAACTCTCCAGAGAACCTAGAAGAAACTATCAGAAGCTGGTAGAAACTTCCGGGGCAAAGTGACCAAAATATAGAGTAAGGTGGAAGAGACTTCCAAGAAAAGTAGGAAGGAATTTCTGGGAGAATACTGAAAAAAGGGGTATTTACGTATTCTCGTCAATCTAAGCAGCGTCCGAACTTCTATTAGCGATTTCTCAGCGTCACACACATACATGACAGGTTTGTTTGTTGACATTTATCTGCTGCTTGCTGTTCTACCAATTTCAATCGACAGAATTGATCAAAACGGGTTGAACATGTTTTTACAACGCTCCAAACTTCTCAAGTGAGTGTGACTATTGTCGGCAGCCTCTTTTTCTTCGGCACCCTTTCCATTTGAACTGCGTGTTAACCAGCTGTTCTATTATCGGCAACTCGAAATCAGCCGTATTTTGTAGTGTGTATATTTCATTTAAAGAAAAATATGGCAGAACAGGATTGCACAGTCGTAAAAATGTAATCAGATTGAAGCTGAAAAGGTAAGGAATCGGCTTAATATATTCAGCGAAGAGTTTTGATGGGAAAATACAGTGAACTTAACGTTTCAATTTCGGTTGCCGAAAACAGTCAATGGGTGCCGAAGCCATAATTTACCCTACTTTGCGTGGAACTCGAAGTCATTTCCAAAGGAGGACTTATGGGTACGTAGGAAAAAAGTTCTAGGAATGATCAGAAGAGATCCCATTAGAAATAGGATTCAATTTACCATTCTTAATTTCCAGGGAAAGTTGGAAGAAACCTCGAGGGAAAAATGGAAGAATTTTTCATGACTAGGTGGAAGAAAATTTCGGGAAATGTTGGAAGAAACTATGGTGCAAAGTCGGAACAAATTCCATTTCTTATGAGTATCTAGGTAACAAACTGCTCACCGCATAAATATATTTCCTTATTCCTGAAACTCGTTAATAACTTGAACACATAGCCGTTTCTTATTGTGTTTGTCGTATTATATGCTCGATAAAAGCTTCTTTTATCTTAGTACCCAATGCAATGTTCAGCTTGAAATATTATCTAAATCTCAATGAACATTTCAAAAGGTTCTATCTGCTTTGATCGATTATCTTCATCGACTTTCTATTCTGATAGCCACTGCAATGCAAGCAGATTTGGCACTAGTTTTATCACATATTTTTATAAAGGAGGTTCTTATTTAGCGTCCAGAACGTTAAACACAACAAGGGAAAGGTTTAAAGTTGAGTAATGCGTTCAGAGACTGTCTGACAACTCCATGCCCATTTTCTTTAATAAAATGCCTGTTTTAAAGTTTTACTCATTTATTCTCTCTTTAGGGACTTACACAAATAAATTGTACTAGCCTAGATAACGATTCTGTTTCCGACGCACGCGTTCTGGAGTAAAAAACGATCCGCCAATGTTATAAAAAAAATTCGAGTATTATGTTATAAATATTTACTTCCTATTCAACGATTCTTCTGCCACGTTTCCTCGTTTCCACGCTATTCACATATTTGTTGATTTGATTTTTGTTTGTCTTCTTGAAAACTTCTGACTCGTTTACTTAATAGAACTATTCACATATACGTACAATCAGCGTTGAAATAAATAAACGGACGCCTCATAAACTAGAAGTTGAACGGTATACTGGGCAGTTTGTAGTGATAACCGTCCGGTTCGAGACTGTGGCTGGGTGGCAGTTCGCAGTTCGGACCCTGACCTCCGTTCGTACAGCAATACGGTGGAACTCCACCGGCTGGGCAGCTTGGTTGTGGAGTTGGCGATGGTGGTCGGGTTGCCGGTGGGTAGGTTGGTCTGCTTGGGACGACGCAGTTCGGGCCTTGACCTCCGTTGGTACAGCAGTACGGTGGAATTCCACCGGCTGGGCAGCCCTGTGGTTGTGTTGGCGGTGGTCGAGTTAGCGGAGGTGAGGTAGGTCGGCTAGGAACAATGCAGTTCGGACCTTGACCTCCGTTGGTGCAGCAATACGGTGGAACTCCTCCGTACGGGCATCCTGGCTGCGGAGTTGGTGGAGGTCGTGTAACTGGCGGTGAGGTAGGTCGGCTTGGAACGACGCAGTTAGGACCTTGTCCTCCGTTAGTGCAGCAGTACGGGGGGACTCCACCGTATGGGCAATCAGGTTGTGAAGTTGGTGGTGGGCGGGTAACTGGCGGTGAAGTGGGACGGCTAGGGACGGCGCAGTTTGGACCTTGTCCTCCGTTGGTGCAACAATAGGGGGGCACTCCACCGTATGGACATCCTGGCTGAGGTGTTGGAGGTGGGCGGGTAACTGGTGGAGATGGAGGTTGTGTAGGACGGACACAGTTTGGACCTGCGAAATGAATACATTGTTATTTGATTGTTTCTTGTTAGAATTAGTTTGTACTTACCATATCCTCCGTTAGTGCATGGTGGGAGATATTCGTTATCAGATGATGGTCTTGTTGGACCAGGGGTAGGTCTAGTTGGTTGAGGTCCTGGAACAATGCAATTAGGCCCTTGTCCGCCATTCGTGCAGCAGTATGGTGGAACTCCTCCGTTGGGGCAACCACTTGGAGTGGTTGGCCTTGAAGGTTGCGTTGGAACAATGCAGTTTGGACCTGTTCCTCCATTGGTACAGCAGTACGGTGGAACTCCACCGTATGGACATGAAGGAGTTGTGGGTCTAGGTGGCTGTGTGGGAACGATACAGTTTGGTCCTTGTCCACCATTGGTACAGCAGTATGGTGGTACTCCTCCATTGGGACAGCCACTTGGAGTGGTTGGCCTTGGAGGTTGCGTCGGAACAATGCAGTTTGGACCTGTTCCTCCATTGGTACAGCAGTACGGTGGAACTCCACCGTATGGACACGAAGGAGTTGTGGGTCTAGGTGGTTGTGTGGGAACGATACAGTTTGGTCCTTGTCCACCATTGGTACAGCAGTATGGTGGTACTCCTCCATTGGGACAGCCACTTGGAGTGGTTGGCCTTGGAGGTTGCGTCGGAACAATGCAGTTTGGACCTGTTCCTCCGTTAGTACAGCAGTACGGTGGAACTCCACCGTATGGACACGAAGGAGTTGTGGGTCTAGGTGGTTGTGTGGGAACAATGCAGTTAGGACCCTGTCCTCCGTTCGTACAGCAATACGGTGGCACTCCACCGTTCGGACAACCACTGGGGGTGGTTGGCCTTGGTGGTTGAGTCGGAACAATGCAGTTTGGACCCGTTCCTCCGTTAGTACAGCAATACGGTGGAACTCCTCCATATGGACAAGTGGGTGTAGTTGGACGTGGTGGTTGTGTTGGTACTACACAGTTTGGACCTTGACCTCCATTTGTGCAACAATAGGGTGGTACTCCACCGTTCGGACAACCAGAGGGCGTAGTTGGACGAGAAGGTTGAGTCGGTCGAGATGGGACTACGCAATTAGGACCTTGTCCACCGTTCGTGCAGCAGTACGGAGGAACTCCACCGTAAGGACAACCAGAAGGTGAAGTAGGAGGACGGGTTGGCTGTGGTGTTGGCCGTGGAGGTCCAGTCTGACAGTTTGGTCCTAAAATAAATGTATTGGAGAAAAATAATTTTTGACAAAGATTGGATACGTACCTGTTCCGCCGTTAGGACAAGGAGGCAGATATTCGTTGTTTTGAGTTGGTCTCGTTGGTGGTCGAGTAGGTACGACACAGTTTGGTCCCTGACCACCGTTCGTGCAGCAGTATGGTGGGACACCGCCATTGGGGCATCCAGCAGGAGTTGTTGGTCCCGGTGTTGGTCTTGAAGGTACAACGCAGTTAGGTCCTTGACCTCCGTTGGTGCAGCAGTATGGTGGAATGCCACCGAATGGACACGGTGCAGGAGAACTGGGAGGTCTCTGAGTTGGTCTGGTTGGAACAATGCAATTTGGTCCGCTTCCTCCATTAGTACAGCAGTATGGTGGGACTCCACCATTGGGACATCCAGGTGGAGTGGTTGGTCCTGGAGTAGGGCGTGAGGGGACAACACAGTTCGGGCCTTGACCTCCGTTGGTACAACAATATGGAGGAATGCCTCCATAGGGACACGGAGCTGGAGAGCTGGGGGGTCTCTGAGTTGGTCTGGTTGGAACAACACAATTTGGTCCGCTTCCTCCATTAGTACAGCAGTATGGTGGGACTCCACCATTGGGACATCCAGCTGGAGTGGTTGGTCCTGGAGTAGGGCGTGAGGGGACAACACAGTTCGGGCCTTGACCTCCGTTGGTACAACAATATGGAGGAATGCCTCCATAGGGACACGGAGCTGGAGAGCTGGGAGGTCTCTGAGTTGGTCTGGTTGGAACAATGCAGTTTGGTCCGGTTCCTCCATTAGTACAGCAGTACGGAGGGACTCCGCCATTCGGACATCCAGCTGGAGTGGTTGGTCCCGGAGTAGGGCGTGAGGGGACAACACAGTTCGGGCCTTGACCACCATTGGTACAACAGTATGGAGGAACACCTCCGTATGGACATGGAGCTGGAGAGCTGGGAGGTCTCTGAGTCGGTCTGGTTGGAACGACGCAATTTGGTCCGGTTCCACCATTGGTACAACAATACGGAGGGACTCCACCATTAGGGCAACCGGCTGGGGTAGTTGGTCCGGGAGTAGGGCGTGAAGGGACAATACAGTTGGGACCTTGTCCTCCATTGGTACAGCAATATGGAGGAACACCTCCGTAGGGACATGGCGCAGGTGTCGGGGATGGTCCTTGAGTTGGTCTAGTCGGTGGTCTAGAAAGAACGATATCAAATTTGCGAACGTAGTTGCAGATTGAACTATTGAGTGGAGAAACTAACCTGGTTGGAGGAGTGATTGGCAGAACACATTCCGGGCCTTGTGCTCCATTTGTACAGGGTGGGAGATACTCGTTGTCGCTCCCTGGTGGTGGTGGCGGTGGTCGAGTTGGGGGTGGTACGGGGGGTGCTGAGACATAGCAATTCGGTCCAGTTCCTCCGTTGGTACAACAATATGGTGGAACTCCTGGAATTGCGTTACTGATTAAAAACCTTGAATCAATTAGTTGACAAGTTCAGCTTACCTCCGTTGGGGCAAGGTCTAGGCGTCGTTGGACCTTGTGTTGGAACGACACAGTTAGGTCCAGTTCCTCCATTTGTGCAGCAGTACGGTGGAACTCCTCCGAATGGACAAGGTCTAGGGGTTGTTGGATAGGGAGTAGATGGTGATGGCAGAGCACAGTTTGGACCGGTTCCTCCGTTTGTGCAGCAGTACGGTGGAACTCCTCCGAACGGACAAGGTCTAGGGGTGGTCGGATATGGCGTGGAAGGTGATGGAAGGGCGCAATTGGGACCACTTCCTCCGTTGGTACAGCAGTATGGTGGAACTCCGCCATTTGGACAACCGGCTGGAGTAGTTGGACCTGGAGTAGGTCTTGATGGTACGACACAATTTGGACCTTGTCCTCCGTTCGTGCAACAGTATGGAGGAATTCCTCCATTTGGACATCCAGCCGGGGTGGTAGGCCCTGGAGTAGGTCTCGATGGTACGGCGCAGTTGGGACCTTGACCTCCATTAGTACAGCAATATGGAGGAACACCTCCATAGGGACAAGGAGCTGGAGTTGGAGAGGGTCCTTGGGTAGGCCTACTTGGAACTTGACAATTTGGTCCAGTCCCGCCATTGGTGCAACAGTAAGGAGGAACTCCTCCGAACGGACATGGCCTTGGTGAAGGGGGAGCTGTCGTAGAAGGCGACGAGACGGCACAGTTGGGTCCAGTTCCACCATTGGTGCAACAATAAGGAGGAACTCCTCCGAACGGACATGGTCTCGGAGTACTGGGCCCCTGTGGTTTCTCTGGCGGCGGGAATGGGATGTTTGGTCGTGGATATTCGTAACCGTCCGCACCCAGATGGGTTGTTATCTCTCCATGGCTGGACGTTGCAAGCGCTAGGCAAAGCACTAGCAGCCGCTGTAATGAAATGCAATCAAACAGAATAATGGTCCAATTAGAAACATTGTAGTTCCGCCCATTCTTCGATGGTGGTTGATGGCTATTGGCAAATACATGTGCCGTTGGTGTTGATCGTGGCGCCTTGATTGATTTATGCGTACTTGTTTTACGATTCAATGGTCTGATGGGGCCATCATCATCATCATCGTCGTCGTCGTCGGTGTCGTGGATTCGCCCTAGTGAGCAGATGCGATGATGTGGTCATATCGTCAACGCACCGCATCTTCTACAAGGTGTGGGAACGTGCGAGGAATCCCAAACGAATGATGGTAGCAAAACAAAACCTGTTAATAGCCGGCTCGAGTGGTTTGTATGGACCTAGGATTAAACCGCGAGACGAGAGGAGAATTGATCGTGGAGCAGCCGAATGAGACAATTGATCTTGTTGTAGCTTTCGAAATGGTAGGGTAGCATTCGGAAGCAGTCGCGAGCCGTGATTTTGGTTTGTTTTGTTCTATAGACTTGGATCTTATCTTGGTCGTGATGGGATTATTATACAGCTTTGGTCGGAGAAGAGGTGAAGCGATTTTTGAAACATTAAATTTGATGGGATTCAATGGCTTCGCATCATAATTGATTCGTTTAAATGAATAGATTTATCAACACCATTTCCCACAAAATCAATCAAGAGACACACCCTGCTTCTTAGAGCAGCGGTTCGCAAACTTTTGTAGATTGCGATCCACTGTGAGAAATTTTCTTAGCTCGCAACCTACCAATCTTTAATGCACGCCAGTATGATCATCACAAAAACACTTTTAATGAGCGGCTTTGAAAGGTCTAAAGTGATCTAAAAACAGTGCAAGTGTAATTGAAATATATAAGTAGTATTAAAACTACAAAATAGTATTATCGACTCCGGCGCCAATTTGCAACGTCAACATTACGAATGTAAATAATATTCTTGAAAACATGGCCTCACAATCGTTTTATTTAATGGCTTTAAAACACTAAAATGGACCAGAATAACTTTAAAAGCCGTGGGTCGCGACCCATTGGTTGAGAAACGCTGATGTAGGGAATGAATGATGGAACTTATCAATATTGCACACGATCGACGGTGCTGACCTTGGCCAATCGATCTTCCATCCAGCCAGCTGATGTCGACCGGCTCGTTTGCGTATGCAAATGAGGGAAAGATTCGTCATCGTTTACTACACGGGTTTTGTTGGCATATATTTACAGGTATTAGCATTTTGGTTTATTCGATTAGAGGTGTGTATTTTGTTGTTCATTGGGCGCCAAATTACAATTAGGGGTGTCATTAACGGGTATGTTTTCCGAAATCCGGGTATTTCGGTATTGAGATATTTAATACCGGTAAAAAGATTTCAAGCTGAACATTGCAGTAGGTCCTAAGTAACATTGACAGATTATCTTTGTTGATTTTCTCTTTGTATTCCCATGGAAAGTCATTAAAGAATCGATCACCTAATGCGATGTTCAGCATGATTTAACCTAAAAGGAGAATGCTAGTCATAATCAGAAAATATTCAGTATTCCTCCCATTAGCAATGCAACCTATACTGCCATGAGATGAGAAAGTGACGTAAGTGCCACCATGTTCATTTTTCACTTTTCACCATATTCGAGTTCTGCATTCTTAATGACACTCAAAAACACAAAACATAATTTGATTTGAAGCAAAGTGGCAATGTCGCGTTAGCAATACATTTTCGGAGAATCAGTGAAAATTTTTCACTATTTCTATACCTCCGCCTCAAAAGCTTTTTGAAACATCAACCTTCATTTTTTTTTTAGCTTTGTTTATATCACATTCATCAGGTTCAGTAATGAACCGTTCATATGGCTACATCGCTCAGATGAGACAACGAAACCCTACGCCCAAGCTCCTGCCCTCTTCCTATCCTTCGACAATGCACCCCACTAACCTCGGGTAAGACACGAGTATTCGGCCAAACTCCTACTAGACATAGAATTAAGTAAAGTTTTTTACAAACAAATACCAATGAACCATCAGCTCCGTAAAGTTAACGAAATGAACTACATAAAAAAGGTTCAGTAATAATTTTTATACTTTTCGTAATAGTTGCGAGTTTAAGCAAAAGTATCTGTTGAACATTTCACTAAATGGATTTACGTCACATTGTCACCTCACGGCAGGATAAGATTGAGATCTTATAGTAAAGGGTGATACGGTCAAAATTTGGTCAAGGGAAAACACGTGTAAATCGGTGAAATCGTTTATTTAAAAAATAAAATTAAATTTCTTTTTCAAGTTCAATTAGTATAAAATTCAGGAAAAATATTCAGTTAGGCTTCCGCTTTTCCAAATCCGAATTGCCGGGCCTTACGCTTGACCCCTGCCATCAGATTTTGTACAGCCACCTTGTCCACCTTCTTCGCCGCAGAAAGCCAGTTTGCCTTGAACTGCTGCTCGCCCTTAGCAGTTTTTTTGGTCTTCTTTAGGTTCCGCTTGACAATAGCCCAGTATTTCTCAATTGGGCGGAGCTCTGGCGTGTTGGGAGGGTTCTTGTCCTTGGGAACCACCTGCACGTTGTTGGCGGCGTACCACTCCATGGCCTTTTTACCGTAATGGCAAGATGCCAAATCCGGCCAAAACAGTACGGAACAACCGTGTTTCTTCAGGAAAGGCAGCAGACGTTTATTCAAACACTCTTTCACGTAAATTTCTTGGTTGACAGTCCCGGAAGCTATGAAAATGCTGCTTTTCAAGCCACAGGTACAGATGGCTTGCCAAACCAGATATTTCTTTGCGAACTTTGACAGTTTCATGTGCTTGAAAACATCTGCTACCTTTCCCCTTCCTTTTGCCGTATAAAACTCCTGTCCCGGAAGCTGCTTGTAGTCGGCTTTGACGTAGGTTTCGTCGTCCATTACCACGCAGTCAAACTTCGTCAGCATCGTCGTGTACAGCCTCCGGGATCGCGCTTTGACCGTCGTATTTTGTTTATCATCGCGATTTGGAGTCACTACCTTCTTGTAAGTCGATAGTCCGGCTCGTTTTTTGGCTCGATGCACGGTTGTAGACGATACATCCAGCTTATTTGCGGCATCTCGGAGAGAGAGGTTAGGGTTTCGCTTGAAACTACCGGCAACTCTCTTTGTCGTCTCAGCGGCTTCCGGTTTTCGATTTCCCCCCGATCCAGACTTCCTGGCTGTCGACAAACGTTCCCCAAACACTTTAATTACATTTGTAACGGTTGATTTGGCAACTTTTAGCGATTTTGCCAACTTTGCGTGCGAGTAGCTCGGATTTTCGCGATGCGCGAGCAAAATTTTGATACGCTGCTCTTCTTGCTTGGACGGCATTTTGACAACTGAAGAGTGAATTCCAAAATCAAAATAGGAGCAACATTCTACACACACACACCTTCAAAATGAGGGGTGTTCAGGTTTTTTAAATGCAAAATTGAAAGAAATACGTCAAGTTGATATTGACCAAATTTTGACCGTATCACCCTTTATATGGGTCATTCCAGCTCAAGTTGGTACATAATTTAAAAAAGTTGTAGTCGATGTCACCGATTTGAGCCAAACTAGGCCAAAACGCTCATTTTGGCATTCTGAACAAACGCCTTTTTTGATTTTTCTCTAAAGTGCCTAGATCCTCCTGGGCTACGACCCTGGATTTTCGAGATTTTTTTTTTAATTTCAACTTCCAGATGAGATTAATCCACAACCAAATAAGCTATTCGTGATCTTAGAACGTCATTTTGAGGGTTTTTTAATGTATATTATTATAAATGTACCCACATTTTGTTTTTGTTGTATTAACTACAGTAAACAGGCTGAATACCGGCAGGTATCCAAATTGTCAAAAAATGGCCTATTTTCACTATGGGCGGGATTTTTTATTTCTTAATATTTTGGGCTCGAATTTTCACCACACTTTGGAAAACTCTTCTTTTTTATGTGTTTTCTATGGCAAATGATTTGGACAAATAGTTTTTGAGACATAACCAGATGAGTGAGTTGGAGTTTTAGGCTTTTCTGGTGGAAAATTAATACTATTTAATATTTATTTTTTATTTTTTCTTGAATTCCTTCACGCCGGTAGCACAATAATATTTTTATGTCATTTTTCACATGTTCTGGGCAGCATTCTCAATATATGAAATCATAACTAGCTCATTTATTTACTTCTGTTCATAATTTTATTGTGGTCCTAAAAGTGAAAAATACGTTCCTATGGGATTCAGCCAAAAAATTGTGTTTTAGAAGTATGATGATCAGATAAATTAGCAGACTATATAATAAAATTTCAGTTGTGGATGAATAGTACCCTTATTTGAGTTAATAATTTATTTTTTAGACACAATTTCACGAGCAGGAATCCTTTTTTATTATAGTTATAAAGAACCTTTATTTTTAAATTTTTTGAAAGCACACTTTCCATTCATGAACGTAACTGTCATGTTCTATTTCTACGCATTTGAAGCTAAACACAGGAAACAGTTGCAGACTTATATATATGTCTGTGTACGTGTTCATTTAGAGTTAGTTATCTACATTAAAAAACGTTGAAATTTACGTTCTAAGATCACGAATAGCTTAGGGGTTGTCCATAAACTACGTAGACAGTTTAGGGGGGGGGGGGTTGAGAATTATCCACGGCCCATACAAATTTAAAAAAAATTTGTATGGACAATTGTCTACGCAGGGGGAGGGGGGGGGGGTCAAGAATCCCAAAAAAACTGTCTACGTAGTTTATGAATAGGCCCTTATTTGGTTGTAGAGTATTTTCTTCTGAAAGATGAAATTTTTAAAAATCTCGAATATCCAGGGTTGTAGCCGAGAGCGATCTAGGCACTTCAGAGCAAAATCAAAAAAGGCGTTTGAATGCCAAAATAAGCGTTTTGGCCAAGTTTGCCTCAAATAGGTGACATCGACCACAAGTGGTGTACCCACTTGAGCTGGAATGACCCATAAATCAAATCACCAACAAGCCCACTAATTACCCTGTTTGCGATAGG